ATCCCCTCACCCCCAAAAAGTATTACAGTAGAATTGGAAATGAAATGAATTATATCACGGAAAAGTCTTTACAATCCCTATCTAACTGATTTATTGGATATAGCCTGCTCAATTTGTAGTAATGGAAAAGAGAACCAAAAGTTTGACAAAAGATCATCTTGAAGGAATCTCTTATGCCAAGGAGACAACAATACCTCCTAACTCTTAATGAGATTTAAGACTGACTGAGCAACCATAAGAAATAAATGGATCTACAGTATCTTGAAGAACAGCTTTTCAAAGTCAACATGTGTAAATGGAGCCAGGCAGAGCGAAGTTCCACAGTGCCATCACTTGCTACTCATGTCTAGGAGAGTCCCTGCTGAAGCCCAGCAGGATTCCTTAAGTCCTATCACTTGGGTGGTACCATCAAGTCAATAAAGGGAGTCTTCTTACTAGAATAGTGCTTACTGGTACCACTCTAGGGAAATCAGCTGCTGGATGGAACTGAAAACTCTGATTCAGATACATACTGATATTTGAAAAAGATATTGTTCGTTTTTTTTAAATTCCATGATGTTGGCTTTATTTACTCAATTGTCTTGGCTTCTTCTTTCTGCAATGTTGGTTAAGAATATTTTTTGTAAAAATAGAAAACCTGAAATCTAATTGCTTTCTTAACTTTTTCTGAAAGTATCAGAAGCATCCTTCACCGCATTTGAACAGGCCTAAACTATCTTGTCAAATATGCTTCAAAGTGCTGATAATTCATTAAGCTCAACTATCATAATGATGCCAAAATGTGCATTATGATGTCATGATACAAACTCCACCCCTTCATACTTGCATCACAACACCTCACCCAAATATGTAATGGGTGGAGTTTGCATTGCGAACATCACTGAACATTTTGTCCCTTGTTCCCTCCCCCCCCCACTCCTTGGTGGACATCTATGGCTAAACTGGAAGTGTGTGTGTGTGTGTGTGTAATTATTCTTCAGCTTCCTGTCTCTCCTTTCTCAGAGCTTCTCAAGATCTTTATTATTATGGGAATCAACTAATGGCTGTGCTAAATACAACAGAGTGTAGAACTGGGCAGATTTAGACTTCTGCTAAAGTATAATTATCATGTCCTTTATTAGCAGCATAGCCTCTGTAGGAGAATGTTTCCAGATTTCATTTTGGGTGGTGTAGCCCTACCTAATCTAGACAACACTGCTGGGTTTCTAAGTGCCACCCATCTTTGAGACAAGTGGGATAGAGGAGGCTTCTCCCATTCAGTTAAACAAAGATTAACTTTCATGGGCTCATCTTCTCCTAGATAGCATTTGCCTTTGTAGCATCTGAATCACTCTAGTGGCTCATGTTTAATTTGGGGTTAACAAGGAATCCAGATCCTTTTCTCATGTAGTATTGCCAAGCTAGATTATCCTCATCCTATACTTGGCCTTTAAACTTCCCTACTGATGCAGAACTTCATACTTCTCCCTGTTAAATTCCATCTTACTCATTTCAGATCACTGTTCAAGTCTAAACAGTGATAAAATAAAATAAAATAAATCTTTTATTTCTCCTCAAAAGAATCTGCCCCCCTCCCAGGTTTGTGTTATCTACAGACTTGATCAGTGTCCTTCAACTCCCTCATCCACGCCACTGTTAAAAATGTTGAACTGAGTAGAGCAAGGGGCCACTTCCCAGTTAAGATGGCTGCATGCAAAGGCAGAAAAGACAGTACATGGATCAATGTAATATCAGAGGGTAGATCAGCCATGCTCCACAGCCATGACCATTCTGTATACCCAGCAACTGATTATGATATTCTGCGTCAACACTTGTGTTGCATTCCCACATATGCTATAATTTTCAAAGGAATAAGGGTTAAAGAAGAGAACATAAGCATAACATGTTTCACTAATCTCCAAGTATAAAGCCAATCTTATGTCTCCCCATCCTTCATTCCTTACAAATAAAACCATACCAGAAACTTCTGCATGTTTAGATTTCTTTAATGTTCACCTATGCATAGGCCAAGAAAAAGATTCAGAGGAACTGAGAAGCATAGTAAGCACAATCTTAAGTATACACACTGTCCCTCCTACAGACACACACACATGCATGTACGCAATTTTGCATACAGAAACTTATATGAGGAGATGGACTCACATCTCCCTGAGATATTAATATTCATGCATTGCAGTCTGCAATCATGATAAGTGGTCATCCAATCTCCAGTCTCCAACCTTGATCACTGAGTGGACATAATTTTTAGAGAGCACAATTGTCAGAGAATTACTACCACTTTTGGGGGAAAACTAGTTCATAAAATGACTACCATAATGGGTGCAGCATTCACAAAACCTAACTCCTAGCAAGGCAAGCGGTAAGGTTAAAAGATAAGTAAATTGATCAAGGTTCAGATCCAAGGTTCCAATACAGTCTGAGCCAAAACCAATTTTCTTCCCCAACCCTCTCTAAGGTTCTCTATTGTACTTTCAGACTGAACCTCACGGTTTTCTTATCTCAGCTTGTCCCTTCAGTCTTTGCTATTGTAGTTCCAGTATCCATCTTCCTTCCTCGTTACCCTCACCTTCAACCCAACACAAATATCCCTGCTTCCTCCTCATTACAGAGTAACCCCCAACCATCACAGTGCTTTTCTTTCTGCCATCTCCAACCCTGTGTCTTACAAAACAGCATTCTTGTGTTTTCAAGGTAGCTAGGAGAACCTCAAGTGAAGCACCGATCTCTTCTTCCCAAGGAGGTTATTGAACTCAAAGGAATCCTGAACCTAAAAGATGGCTAGTTACTGGAATATTCTGAAGTACTCTGGAACCATCATTTTTTTAAAAAATAAATATTTTAAGGGCTCAAATCTATTGTCAAAGACTTGTGCGAGGACTATGGATGTTACAGATCTATAGTGCAGGGCTATGTTTTTCATGGCCAAAAAAACAATATCTCAGAGTCACACGGGCTTTGAAACTGAAATTTTGGCCCATTTGGGCGACATAGATGGATTAAGCCTATTGTAAAATGAAAAAGGCACATCCTGAAAAATAGTAGGAATGTCTTGGGGGGCTTCAAGAGACCTTGTGAAGCTCACTAACCCTGCCATAGTCATACAGACATAAATTCTCCAATCTAGGGGATTCTCCAGGAAGAGTTTTGTCCTGTGAAGAGCTTTCTATATTAGACATCAGAAATACAAAGACAGAAGACTTACAGCTCAGTTGAGACCGAAAGACATAAAGGTAATAATATATTTCTATCTCATCTCCAAATATGAAACAGCACGATCTTTAAAAGGTTTTTAAAAAGGATAGGCATACAAAAGTGGAAAAAAAAATACCTTTTATTGCACCCACAATATTTTGGTCTAGTCCTTTTCGGTTGTCATTGAGACCTCTTTTCCTTTTGCCATTGGGCAAAGAGTTGGCCAAAGTCTTGTCATCAAAAAACGCACACACGAGTTTTCGAAACAGCAGACTTCCTGAGCGAGTGTAATTTGCTAATATAGAGTCCAGTTGTGATTTAGGCATAAAAACATCAAAACCTTCAGCAAGCTGTACTTCTGGCTATCAAAAACAAACAAACAAAAGAATAACAAGGTATGATTAGCACCATCATCCTTCTGTAGGCAAAATAAGTTGGTGCAAATACAGGGGTAATATAGAGGTGGCATATTACACACATACACAAATATATACACTGACACCAGAATAGTCTTGATTCATTGAAGTAAAAACTGTTAACCCACCATTAAAAATGCAGGTGAGAAATAATATCAGGTCTACACATTATTATAGCTAATAAATGTTAAAAATCAGGGGAAATTCCAGGCAGATGGTTCTCTGTATGCCAATGTGTTTAATACCCATATTCACATCTTCATTTACCTATTTCCTTTTAGGGTGAGCGATATTATATGAAGCACAGAAAAAGACTGAGAAGTAGTGGGGAAAAGAAATTAAAAGTACAAGGTAAGAGAATGGGAAAGGACATTAACTAAATCTAGCATTAAATCCAGCATTTAGTACTGGCAACTTCAGCTCAGACAGATTTATTCAGCTTCACATAGCTCTAAACAATTCAAAATTGCTCATTAAAACAAAAAATAATCAGCACTGCTGTGATCCTATCGCTGGCACATTTGAATACACAGTGATAACTGTGTGTAATCCACACTATACATGAAGCAAAAGGGCAACCTTATATGTATTTACTTGGGAGTAAGCCAAGTAAGCACCACTGATTTTAGGACCTGCTCCCAAGGAGACATGCAGAGATTTGTACTTTGCATAATAATAAGGAAAAATATTAGGAGGCATATATTGTCTTGTTGTACAGAAATCACGTACAGTAGTCAAACAGACACTTACAGACTTTGTGCGCAAGACAAGAAACTACCGGCCTTCCTCATTTTCCTCTTTTGATACAGTAAGGCACGTTTCTCAACCTCAGCAACTTTAAGATGTGTGGACTTCAACTCCCAGAATTCTCCAGCCAGCCATGCTGGAATTCTGGGAGTTGAAGTCCATACATCTTAAAGTAGCCATGGTTGAGAAACACTGCAGCAAGGCATTACCATACCGTTTCACAACATGGAAGATTCATTTAGCCACTAGGACTGTGAACTATGGAGAAATTAATCCTCCACCACTCTGGCTAATTTTCTTTTAAAGCCAACCAAGCTTTCATTTATTGCAATCTTGTGCTAGTGCATAAAAATCCACTTAAAAATTACAGGCTCATAATGATGGTAACTGAAACAATCTGTAAGATATTCTAACGTATTACTTCAAGAGCAGCTATTTTAAAAATCCCAATTATTCACTTTTTTTTTTTTTTTTGCAGTGTCAGAATTCAGAATAAAATTTGATAATTTTACAGTACAACTCCCCCCCCCCATTGCTAACCATCTGGATTCAAAGCTTGATGATGATACAGGTAGTCCTCAACTTATGACCACAATAGGGACTGGGAAATTTGTCGTTAAGTGGGTTGGTTGTTAAGCAAGGTATCATGTGACTGCACCTGATTTTACAACATTTTTTGTGGCGGTCATTAAGCAATCATTGCAGTCATTAAGTGAATCTCGTGGTTTCCCATTGATTTGGCTTGTTGGAAGTTGGCTGGGAAGGTTGCAAATGGTGATCACGTGACCCTGGGACGCTGAAACCGCCATAACTACATGCTGGTTTGCCAAACACCTAAATTTTGACCACGTGACCACGGGAACGCCGCAACAGTTGTAAGTGCGAGGACTAGTCATAAGTCACTTTTTCCAGTGCTGTCGTAACTTTGAACAGTTGCTAAATAATGATCGTAAGTCAAGGACTACCTGTAGAAAAAGTGGGGAAGTTTAAGAAATCAAACAGATCAACACATACAAATCAGAACACAATAAGGAGTTGTAAAAGTGAGAATAACGGTGCTTAGATTATATTTAGAACTGGTATTGGAAACAGTGTCCTGTGTGTTAATTGATTTCATCAACATCTCAAACCCTTTTGCTTAAGAAATTTTAATTGTACGTTGCTTGGCTTGTTATTTCAACAATAAGTACAATGAAAATAGATTAGATATAACCTTCCCTAGAAAGTGACAAAGACGCATTGCAGAAACCTGCAAATCAATAAGAGAAATGGCTGGCCACTCCATGTACTAATACAGTATTTCCTTTCTTTAAAGAAAACAAGAGGTGAAGAAAAGATACTGTGGCTGGTAGGAAAAAAAAAGAAAGGCAACACATTTCAAACTTGGCTGATTATTCTCATCAAAAGTATAAGTGATATAAAGTAAAATATAAAAGTATATTTGCAGATTGCATTTATCTCTTGTTTTCTCAGTGAGCAAAAGGCAGCTGAACCGGGATCGCCGCTCATTTCATTCCCTGTGAAGGTCAGCCTGAGGAAGAAAGCTTAGCAAGGAGCCCGTTTCGTGGTGAAGTGGGAACCTAACTCGAGTTTCCTTAGTCCAGTTTCCACAGCTTAAGCCCTTTGCTCCCGTTCACAAACGGTGTTAGCATCCTATGCCTCTGAACCAAGAGGATTACCTGGATCCCTTCCAGCACAGGCATGGGATGAAACCCACCTTGGTCACTCTTAGGGATGAAACAGGAGGGGAGTAAACCGTGTCCTTCTAGACCTCTTGGTAGCACCAAACAGTTCTGATGTGGCGGGAAAGAACTGACTTTAGCTGCATAGCTACAGACTGTGTTTCCCTCCACTACTTATGGATTTCTCCAAGTGTAGAAGATGCTTTTCGCTTTTCCTACAGCTCGTTTTGAAAACACTTCATTGTGCAGAGAAAGGGAGGATTAGCACTTGCTACCTTGGGATCCCGCTACGTGGCCTCTTCCTGTAGAAATACAGCAGATTACTTAGAATCTCTCCATAATTGCTCTGGAGATTCTGGGCCCACTCATGCATCATACTTAATCATAAAAAAAAGAGCAATGCACAGGCACTGGCTTGTCCTACAGGAGAAGCCGTCCATCTCAGTAATTCAGAAAAGGTTAAGAGTGTTACTAGAATTCAGCAGGACATCACTGCCAGAGACTAGTTTACCTTAAATTATTGCAAACCATACCTAAGTGCTGGGGTTTGTGGTGGCTGGAAGCGGCGTGCATTTTGCATTTGACAACCCAGTTATCCAGTAACCAAACTGCTGGCTATCTTGGAAGCCACATCTCTCCAGAAGAAGTGTCACTGCACATAAGCCACACCTGTGTACACTTAACTGGACAGACACTCACACAGGGCATGAATTGTGAACAGTCCTTTTCTCAGTCTATTAATAATCAGCCAATTAACTATCTGGAGGAAACTGCAATGGTAAGCATGCTTGCAGACTCGATCTGAAATTAAACTAGTCGTTTCAGCTTCCATTCTGGCAAGCCGAAAACAGAATAAAAACGTCAGCTTAATTAGTACATTCCAAGGCAATGTCAGAATTCAGAATAAAATTTGATAATCTTCTATAATGAGCACACATTAACTTTTATAATGAATGCACAGTTTCCAATGATCAGACTATTACACAGTAACAACAATAATCCTGAAAAAAGCATAACTATAAATCTACCAAAAATCTTATTTCAGAAAAAGACAGAAATGTGTTTAGTTGTCAAGGTCCTTCACAGGGAAGACCAAGCTTCAATTAGAGATCCAATGAAAGTTATCTGCAATTTTGTTTGTGTATATTTCATAAATGAATCAGTTTGTATTCCAGTCACATAAAATAAAATGCTGATTTATTCCAGATTCCTTCAGTAGCGAATTATCTTTCAATTGTAAGCAATCAGTACCCAATTGAGCTTCACATGGACATCTCCAAGTATGTTTTATAGTTAAACAGAGTTTGATAACATAAAATAATCAAGGCAATAGTGTACATAATTAACACTAATAAGATAATTGTCCAACTCTTTGTTGGGCTAAAATTAGTAAACTGCAAATTAGAATTATCCTAAGCATTTATAAAATGTTGCTATTGATTAAAACATATTTTATATGCCAATTCTACATGTTATTTGCCTTGCATTGAAACAAACAGAAAAGATACTTAGAAGGAGAATTGTCAGTCAGTTCCTGGATTCAAAATATCATGAGGCTGCATTCTTGAGATCAAACCCAAATGAACTTAACAGCACTTCTGCACTGAGAAATATCAGAGCAAATCAGTGGGCCAAATTATATTTTTAACAATGTGCTTTAGTAATCCATGCTTAAAACTTATTAAAAAAACCAAAACAGTCACAACTGCAAGACCTTAGTCTAGGATAATACCCAATTATTTGTAAAAAAATCTCCTTTGTTTTGCAGTAAAGTAAACAGCATCCAGACAGGGTAGATCCATGTACAGCTGTAAGTGTTGGACTACAAACCAGGAGTCTTTTTAGTACTGGGTGACTTTCTCTCTCAACCCACCCTTAGGTTGTTTTTGTGGAAAAAAACAGGAGGGTGCATTATGTTGACTTCTTTGAGTTGTACAAAATAATGACAAGATACAAATCAAACCAATAAATAGTAACTATAAAAATTAGCTGCACAAGGCAGGAAGGTTCAATAGGAAATTTATCCTGACCTGCAGTCAGAGCACCAACTATGTTTGTGATTGCAATCTATCGGTGCTTTTTTGTCAAAATTTAAATAAATCATGATTTCTAAAAAAGAGGAATAACAACATGGGTTCTTTGGTCCTGTTTATTCCCAGGGCATTTGTATTTAGATTTTTCTGATTCTGATTCCCAGTTTAATCTCATCTGAACCAGGAGCTCTCATGGTGGTCTTAAGCCAACCATTGGCTCAGCTTTCCCCATCCTAGCACCTAACAGAGTTGTTGATTATAGTTCTCCAAATTCCCACCCAGCAGGTTGCCAGGTTATCCTATGTTCCTTATCATTTGAAATATGGGAATAACAACATTCCCGTGTTAAAAAGCTATTTTCAGAGTTAGTGTTAATAAGGGGATGTTTTAAAAACCTACCAATCTTCAAAAAGCCATTAAGTATATATATGCTAATTACAACACCTATTATCTCCGGTGTCCCTCTTCGCTATAATATACAGCAGGGTTCCTCAACCTTGGGAACTTTAAGAATTCTGGGAGTTGAAGTCCACACATCTTAAAGTTGCCAAGGTTGAGAAACCCTGATATAGAGATTCAAATGGGAGAACTTCTTATGTTAGATCCTAGGGTCACTCTGCAACTAACTAATCTAACAGCAGAGCTGTGGCTAATTCATACATGTTAGTTAACATGTCATCAGTATAAACTGGACACGCAGAACCTGTAATAGGGTATCAACAGAGTGATTCCCACTGAGGCTTATGGCTCCCTCTGGTTTTCCATACTTTCCCTCCAAGAGTCATCCAACAGCCCCTCAACTGGAAACTTTTGAGGGTCCTCCCCAGTTTTCTTTCCAAAAATGTTGATTTCTGCAGGCCTTAGGCCTGACCCCAGTGTGCGGATGGTGCCATTTGTTATGTTCATGTTTGAAGAATAAATGAGTTATTTTATTTAATATCTTGGTGTTATGGATATGAGTCAAAGCAAGTCATCTTGATAAATAAGTTTGAGAAATCAGAAGACCTTGTAGCCTGATTTTTTGGATGCTAGCTGACACAGAAATTCCACTGATCTCAAGGAGACATAAAAGCTTACAGAATTGCCAGTGGGTAGCCTGATCTTATTTTCAGAAATGTTTTCAAGGTCACTGAGGCCAACTAAATGCTATCTTTTCTGTTTTTGTCTCCAACCTTCTGGCACTTTTCTTACCACATATTGATGCAAACTTAATACTCTGAACAGCTTAACTTACATTATTTTAAAAGAAAAAGGCTAATCAGAATAATGATAAAGCCTAACAAGGAAATGCTTGAAGTGATGTGTCTAGTTTTAATAATACTACTTTTACCTAAAAAGAGATTATGGATACATTCTACAAATTGTGCATTGAAAATAGTGTAAATAACTAATGTAGGAGTGAATAGTACACGATGTTCAAAGTTGTTCATGTTTTGAAAATGACTCTGAGAGGTCTTTGGAAATGCATGAGGGTGCAAGCACAGCATCTCTTTAAAGCAGCCATGTCTTTTTTAAGGCTATGTGGAAGCCAGAAAATAATGCAGTTGCTTTAAAGAGGTGTGTGGCATTTACGCCCCTGAAGTTTCCAAAGCATTTCTGCTGTTCTCAAAGTATTCCTAACCCTAATATAAACTAATTAATAAAAATAGTTACAATCAAGTTCTATTTCAGGGATTACTAAGAGCATGTTTATGGCAACATTGGCAAATCTTTGCAAGTAAGGAACTTTTTCACTTGACTTCTAAAAATCAGTCTGGCCTTCAGCCACCAGTATCTGTCATGCCACAATGCAGTAACATTCTTCACAACAGTGTCCGGTATCTGCAATCCAGGCCTTTAATGAACATGACGATACTTGCTAATGGGAGAACAAGGGATTTTTCCTTTTAGTTTCTATAAAGAAGGGGAAGAAAAAAGTTATTCTTTTGATATAAATAAGGGGTAGCCTGAGACCATCTACAGAACTTCATGTTGAAATTTAAACCCAGGCTTACCAATTTAGCCCACTTCATGATGCTTCCATCTAGTTTGAAAGATAAAATTTCTTTAATTCACAATAATGTAAATTCCAAGAATATAAAAAAAAAAAGATTTGGGATACATTTTATAAAAACTCAGGTTGGATTTCTCAGAAAATGAACATTGGTTGTACACATACAACCTAGAATATTTTAAATTGGCCCAAGACACAATGGGTTAAAATATAGAACTCTCTTAGAGCGAAAAGACCAATCGAGTGCAACACCAGCTCTGCTTAGTAAAGCTAAGAGTTCACTTGTTGGCACAGAACCATGAGGTGCTACCTAGTGATCGCTGTAATCCCAAACTTAAGACTTTCAATCAGACTTCAATTTTTATTGCACCTATGGGGAACTAAAGAAGTATAGGTGGGCTTCAAAACCGGAGCCTGCTTTTTCAAAATTCTGGAAAACTCAAGGGCAATTAAAATAAAATTCAGAGTAAGACATAAAACTGAAAGAGAAGTTCCCAGTCCTCTCCTACCAGACATTTCTAGCCATAATTTTAATTACAGTATCAGTCCTACAAAAAAGCATCAGGCAGCCCCGTTACTATGGATCATGATATAGAGCTTGGGGTATGAGATACTAATCTAATTACCAGCATAGCTCGCCTCTGTGTAAGTGAATTATCAAGCTGCTCTTTTTTTTGTTATTATTAGTTTACATTTCTAGAAAGATACAGTATTATCTATAGAATTCCTTTCTTTTATGATCACTGATACAGAATTTAATTATGTTCTGTGATCTTGCTGTACTTAGGAAATTGGAAACTGTCTTCTCAAAATTAAAAAGGTACATTGAAGAAATTAATGACCAGCTTACTCAACAGTGAACTTTGCAGACCTCATCCAGCTGAAGCTCTAACAAAGCTCAGAAGCTGCCCTCTGGCTCCCCAAACAATCATTTGACAAACATCCGATTCGAAAGGGAAAAATATCAAATGCCACCTTTCTAGATTCCCAGTTCTACATTTACACATTCCACTCACAGGCTGTTGGGATGCGCTGTTCCTATGTTTTCTTGTGTTACTATGAGAGTACAAAGATGGGGTCCTTGATCAAACGGTTAAGTGTAAGCCACCCAGCCACAAGCTGTGATTTGCACTAATTCAACTCATGAGTCATTGTTCTTCTGCACAACAGACCAACTGAGCTGATCCACCTGCTCAGAAAAACCCCTTTCTCCTCTCTTCGCTATTCAAGGAGTTCTGCATAATGTTGTGATGGTCCTTCTGTGGCCCCACGTTTATTAATCAGGGATAATTACTGACTTGCATGGGAGAACATTACATCCATTAGACTTTGGAACAGTCATTCATCCCACTGTTGTCTAGGGTAAGATAGAACAAATTATTCTAGTTCTAGCAGAAGGAAATGGAATGTCTTTTACAAAAACGAATTAAAGCAGAGGTGGCAGAGACAACATCCAGTGCATAAAACATCCTTTTCCAGAAAGAGGTCTGCTTCATACCCCTGCAGAAAATATTCTTCTCATGGGGGTGCACGAAACAGAAAACATGTTTGTTTCAAACCTGTCAGAATGCATTCAGGGAGCTTTAAACCTGTCAAAAAGGCATTTACAGACCCTATTCTGGATGGGTCACAGTTCAACAGAAAAAGAATGTTCAGGAGTGATTACAGGTAGTTCCCGGGTTAAGAACATCCAGGTTACAGATATTAGAGATGTTAACAATTCTTATAGTTAAGGACAGAGTCTATTGTAACAAAATTTGAGTTAAATACATAATGATTTAAATTAAATACACAAGGGTTCGGGTTCATTACCTAATACTACTTATACTAATGTTTCTCATGGCTGGCTGGGGAATCCTGGGAGTTGAAATCCACACATCTTAAAATGGCCAAGGTTGAGAAACACTGGCTTATACAATAGTACTGTTCCGGCTTACATACAAATTCAATTTAAGGGCAGACCTTGGGGACGAAATCTGTTCTTAAACTAGGGACCACCTGTATACAGGGTGAGTGTGGCAAGGCTGATATGCCTTTTCCTACTCTTGTAACCCCACTCCAAAATAATTTGACACCCTACCATACGCAGAACAAAACAGCCAGGTTTCATTCCGTTTGACTGATTATGTGCTGGCATCAAGTCATTTTTAACTCCTAGCGACCACTTTTTAAATATACAGTGGTACCTTGGGTCACGAACGCTTCTGTTCACGACCAATTCAGGTCACGAACAGCACCGTTCGCAAAATTTTGCTTCCGTCCGCAAACTCCGCATCGGGTGATGAACAGGATCCGTGGCAATTTTCCCTGCCGTGACATGTGGTCGTGGCTTCCTGTA